TGGAAGTCTGATGCTTTTATTAGCCAGATGTTGTTTCTCAATATTTTAATCTCAGCTATTTGGGAAGTGGTTGAGCTATTTGTGGTGTGAGACAAGCATGAGCAAAAAAGTAAATGAGATTCCATCTCATCCAGTGTCTGAGCACAGTCACAGGTGTCTGCCATCTTAAACTGTGGGAAAACACAATGTCTGGGCACAGTAGTGCATGCCTGTCAGCCCAGTACAAAGGATAATACACACACACACAGAAGGTCACACAGCATAGACCAACCCCAGGGAATGAAGGAAGATCCTATCTCAAGAATAACCAATACACAAAGGGGATGATAGAGTGAACTAAGAGGTAGAACACCTGATTAGCAAGCACAAGGCCCTGAATTCAAACCTTAATACCACAAGAAAAAAAAGGGGACATGTATTGTAATTCGAAATCACAAGTGCATAGGGAAGGAAGTGGAATTTGAAGAAAGGTAGTAGAAACCACTATGGAAAGCAGTCTGGAAGGTCCTCAGAAAGCAAAATATTGACCTCCCTTATAACCCAGTCATACCACTTCTAGGCATCTACACTGAACAACAGGAACCAGTATACAAGGACACGTGCACCTCCAAGTTTATTGCAGCACTGTTCACAATAGCGATATGGAAACAACCCAGATGTCCCACCACAGATGAATGGATCCAAAAATTGTGGTATCTATACACAATAGAATTTTATACAGCCATTAGAAAGTACAAAACAATGGCATTTGCAGGAAATGGATGGAGCTAGAAGAAATCATGTTGAGCGAGGTAAGCCAAGAGCAAAGAGACAAACTGCACATGGTCTCCCTGATAAGTGGATGCTAAATCCAAAAATGTAAGTGATATGGCAAAATTAACAAGACTTAAGAAACAAAGGACTTCCACTCATCTGGTCGAATCACTACTAAATTACCCCATGCTGCTGATCACATATATGGTATATATGTGCACACCGGAGGGAAACCAGGAGGATGACACAGAACTAGAGGGAATCAGGGAAAAACATACAACAGCAGGACCATCAGCTGCACTGGACATTGATCAAAACGAACTAAGCAACTCAATAGCAGTGATGGGAGGGAGGGAACCAGTGGGAAAGAGGGAACAGCTGATGCTATGTAAAACAAAAGAAATGTACATATCACCCAATGAGGAAGAAATAATTGCAAAGCTCATAGAACTCATAAATGTTATAGACCGTGATAGAAATTTGCTCCAGGAAAGTTAGAATGTGTTTGTGACTTTAGCTGAGCATCACTATCCCACAATACTGTGAAATTTGGGAAATTATGTAACCACTTAATCACAATAAAAAAATTGAAAAAAGGTAGTAGGTACTATGTAGTTTCAACTTTGATATAAAATTGTTAGTTTAAAAGTATACTGAAACTTTAACAAGATATTCACATGGCAATAGACATTGAAATGAGTGCAGTAAATACTTGAAATAGATGTAAAATTTGTAAGAAGACATTTTAGGGCTGTCTCCTTCAGTTTTCCTGTAATATTTTTCTGTTTTTTTTTCTGATGGGTTGTTTTAATTTAAGGACTTATACTTGCTACATAGGTGCTCTGCCACTTGACATACACACACACACACACACACACACACAGCTTTCATATTTTCTTACTAAATTTTTATATAATTTTCTTTGTGAGTTAGCTCCGGTATACATTGGAATTTGGAGAAAGGGGGAGGAAGATGCAAATCTATGAAAAAACTTTTGATTGTTTATTTTTATTTTCTTGCATATGTGTATTTATACTGAAGCCTGAACTCAGAGCCTGGGCACTGTCCCTTAGCTTTTTCTTTCCACCTCTTGAGCCACAGCTCCACTTTTGGCATTTTGCTGATTAACTAGAGATAAGAGTATCAGGGACTTTTCTTGTCCAGGTTGGCTTCAAACTTCAATCCTCAGAGCTCAGTCTCCTTCTAGAATTACAGCTAGGATTACAAGCATGGGCCACCAGTTCCCAGAATGGCTCATCACCTGTAATCCCAGAGGCTGAGATCTAAAGATTGTGGTTCAAAGTCAGTTTGGGCACTAGAAGGTCTATGGGACTCTTACCTTTAACCCAAAAAGCTGGAGGCAGAACTGTGGCCAAGGTGGTGGAGTGCGAGCCTTGATACCATCCAGTTGGGAAAGTACTCATCAATAATGTTCTGAAGTGGAAAGTGTGACAAGGAAATGGTATGCACACGGCTTGATGGCAGGGTAGGCGGTGCCCATCGGGGATTCTTAGGTTCAGCTTTATCTCAGCCTGTTGGTGTTGAGGAGGAGGAGAGACAGCCAGGGAGCCCAGAGTGGGAGGGATAGCATCAGGTGTGTTTGGTCCTCACAGGATGGCACTTAGACATGCCACAAGGTCGTCCACATAGCTGTCTAGAAACTTCTCTTTGGCAAGTCAGGTGATGACGTGGATGCTGTGAAATGGTTGGGTTTGAGCCTTCTTGGCTTAACAACCTCTTGGCCCCATCTAATGCCTCTCCCCCCGCCCCTCGGAGCCATAGATACTGAAATAGTCCCCCTGCACAGCCTCCCAGTGCCCTACATGGCTTTGTAAAGGTCTCTGGATTCACTCATGGAGGCCAAAAGATATGGCACCTGTTGTGTATTGATCAGTTCCTTGAGGCCAAGATACAACGTATCACCAGGTACTGGTGGCTTATGCCTCTAATCCCAGCTACTCAGGAGGCTGAGATCTGAGGATAAAGGTTTGAAGCCAACCTGGGCAGGAAAGTTCATAAGATTCTTATCTCCCACTACTCAGAAAAAGCCAGAAGTTGTACTGTGGCTCAAGCAGTAGAGTGCTAGCTTTGAGCAGAAGAAGCTCAGGGGCAGCACCCAGGCCCTGAGTTCAAGGCCCAGGACCAAATAAATAATAAATAAACTAATAATATATATATATATAATTTATAAATATATAAATTATGCTTAATTCTGGGTGATAGTTTGTATTTCTTTCTAGTTTTTGTTTGTTTTAAAGTCAGTTTTGCTGCATTGTCCAAGCTGGCCTGACAATGATCTCCTTGTCCCAACCTACAGAATGTTAGGATTACAAGCATTTGCTACTGTATCCTATCCTGTTCTAAAAAGCAGAGAGAAACAGAGAGAGTTGCTAGAGATCAAACCTAAGCTCTGACATATGCTAAGCCCTGATATAAGTCCTTTTTTTGTTGTTGTTGTTGGTTGTGGGGCTTGAACTCTGGGCCTGGGCACTGTCCTTCAGCACTTTAGCTCATGGCAAGCACTCTACCACTTGAGCCACAGCGCCACTTCTGGTTTTCTGGTGGTTTATTGGAGCAGGTCTCAGTATGTTACCAGGGGTGGCCTTGAACTCCTGGCTCAAGCAATTCTTTTTTTTTTTATTTTTGTGAACATACTGTACAGAGGGGTTACAATTACATGCAAGATAATGAGTACATTTCTTATCAAGCATTGCAGCCTCCTCCTTGGCCTCTGTCTCTGCTGAGACTACAGGTGTATCCCACAACTCTCAGCTTAGCAATGATTTCCTATGTAACTTTTTTTTTTTTTTGGTCAGTCATAGGGCCTGAACTCTGGGCCTGGGCACTGTCCCTCAGCACTTCAGCTCAAGGCTAGCACTCTACCACTTGAGCCACAATGCCACTTCTGCTTTTTTCTGTTTATGTGGTGCTGAGGAATCGAACCCAGGGTCTTATGTATGCGAGGCAACCACTCTACCCCTGAGCCACCTTCCCAGCCCCTATGTAACGTTTTAAATCATGAATCTCTCATGTTTTCTGTTCTTGAAATTTTTTCAGAAATTATGAACAAATTCTATTTCAATGCAAATGACATTTAAGAGTTTGCTTTAAGAAGCAAACTAAGAAGGCTTGAGCTTTTCTTAATATGTTGTAATGAAATTTCATATATTTTATAAACTGAGGTCCATCTCTAATACCTGAAGTGGCCCTCTTGAAATATTCAAACCATCAAAATCATGCTTACATTAATTTTCCACATATATCATTGTATAATTCCTGACTTTGAATAATACAAATTATAAACGTATCAACTAGAATTGTGAGTGAAGGATTTTTTTTTTCGATCGTGGGGCTTGAACTCTGGGCTTGGGTGCTATCCTTCAGCTCTTCAGCTCAAGGTGAGTGCTCTACCGCTTGAACCAGAGTACCACTTCCAGTTTTCTAGTGATTTACTGGAGATAAGAGTCTCATGGACTTTCCTGCCCTGGTATGCTTTGAACCATGATCCTCAGATCTCAGCCTCCTGAGTAGCTAGGATTACAGGTGTGAGCCACCAGGGCCCACTGTGAAAGATTTTTAAGATGGTTGCTACAATCAGTCTTGGAGCAAAAGAAGATAGGACAAATATATATATGGAACCGTGATTGGACTGAATCTTCATAAATCTCAAAGCACAGAACCATTTCTCTTTGATAGCATTTAGCTGCCATTCTTCAGGTCCTTATGTCAAGTTTTAGGACATTTATTTCTCAACATAAACCATTTGATCTCTATGTTTACATCATAATTGATCTTTATCATCAATAGTTTTGTCACTGTTGGTTTTTAGGAAGTGCAAAACGACTATTTAGAGTAACTGAAAATCAAAACGTACTTCCAGCTTCACTTTCAACCAAATGAGAATCACGTAAGGAAGCTCCACAGAGATATTGACTGCATTTATTCCCTGACTTCTTGCACATTTGTGTTTCTTGTTCTCTTCATGAATGGACTCAGAGTGGTTGACTAAGGAAAGCCTGCGTCCTGCAGAATCAGTCATTGTAGCTTTGACTGGAGCTCTGGTCCTGCCCTATCAGCAAGTCTTCTACTTCAGGATTGTATGTTCCTCATCTGTGAAATTAATACACTCGATTTGATCATCCCTTAGGTCCTGCCTCATTGAAAGAACTTCTAAGTCACTTAGATAATGTGCAGTTTTAAGATTTGCTGCAGTAGAGTTTCTGATAATGTTATCTTTTATCTTTCAGTTTATATCTATTCAAACTAGGAATCGCACCCCAGATCCAGGACTTGCTGGGCAAAGTGGACTTCACAGGTACTGACCTTTGGCTTTCTAATTCTCTATTAAACAAGTGGACTTTAAAATGTACCAGTGCCACCTTTTCTCCTTTTGATGCAATTAGTTTCCTTTCTTGCACTACATTGACAAGAAAACTTTCCTGCCTTATTTGTACTCACCTAGGTCCTTCCCTCATGTTTGTAAAATGAGAAGCCCAGGCTTGCTTGCTCCTAGGACTCTTCCTGTCTGAGGAAGGCCTTTCTCAGCACACCGTATCTCCTTACCTGTGATCTCCTTTGATTTTGTTGTTGTTGTTCTCTTAGAGGAGGAAATCAGTAACATGAGGAAAGAACTGGAGAAGTATGGAATACAGATGCCATCTTTCAGCAAAATAGGTGGTATTCTGGCCAATGAACTGTCTGTGGACGAAGCTGCATGTAAGTCTGTTTAAAACCCAAACTTGTGGACTAAAGGCATAGCTCAGCAGTACTGAGGTTCTTAGTTCAAACCCTGGTACTGAAAAAAACTTGCCATTTATGCATAACTTACATATATTTTTGACTGACTTTAATTACATGAAATAGAGTATTTAATGGACCCTGAAAGGTTTTGAGTTTTAGATAGTTCATTTAAGGATATCAGAAGATAACTGATTTTTTTTTACTTTAGATACCCTTTTGTGCAAGATGACTTAAGAAATTTCAGGAATATCTTCATTCTCCAGAGTCTTCTCTACTTCCTGTGTCTTTAGATCTTAGTAGTAAGGTGCATTGCCCTAAGACTTTTAGATTGCAAGGTAAATTATGAGTATCTCTTGGAACCAATTTGTTTCTTTAAAACTGTCCTTGGGCTGGGTGCAGGTGGCTCACACATGTAACCCTAGCTACACAGGAGATGAAGATGTGAAGACTGAGGTTCAAAGCCAGCTCAAGCTGGCTTTAATCACCAAAAAGCTGGAAGTGAAGATGGAGCTCAAGTGGTAGAGTTCCAGCCTTGAGGGAGGAAGCGAAAGAACAGTGCCCAGGCCCTGAGTTCAGTACTGAGTCCAGTACCAGCAAAAATACATAAGTTAATTAAATAAAACAACAACAAAAAGATCCCTAACCACAGAGCAAGGCCCCACAGTGGTTGACACAGTGCCTGGTTCATTTTAGTCAGTCAGTAAAAGTTGAATAAATAAACAGTTGAATAAATAATTAAGAGATGTTGGGATCAGGACTAGACAGGCTGGTGGAGAGGTTGTCAAGGGCTTCGTGGTGTGTCAAAGTCCTTCATGGCATCCATGGAAACCAAGGAAGAAAGCAGAACTGCACTATCCTCATGTACATCAGTGCAGCTATGCGTGGTGTCTTTTGCTGCTTAGAAACCATGTGTTGTTTCTCTTTCTCTCAGTGCATGCTGCAGTAATAGCCATCAATGAAGCTATCGAAAAAGGAGTGGCGGAGCAGACCATCGTAACACTAAGAAACCCAAACGCAGTTTTAACTTGTGTGGATGACAGCTTGGCCCAAAAATATCAGAAGGAACTTTGGGAAGCCAAAAAGAATAAAGAGGAAAATGCAAGGCTGAAGGTACCTAATTAAATTCTCTAAAACATACAACAATGACTGTGATGATTGTAATTTACTCATTTGAAAAGCCTTGATATTAAATGTGATCACCAAGCGCTAATAGCTCAGGCCTGTAATCCTAGCTACTTAGGAGACTACGATCTGAAGATCACAGTGTGAAGCCAGCCCAGGCAGAAAAATCTGAGAGACTCTTACCTCCAACTAACCATAAAAAGCCAGAAGTGGAGGTCTGGCTGAAGTGGTAGGGCACCAGCCTTGAGCAAAAAAAAAGCCAATCAAGAGCACAAGGCCTTAAATTTAAGCCTCTAGTATCAGCTTGCATGCACATGCAAGCCCATGTGCTACACACACACACACACACACACACCAACAGAAACAAAAACCATAAAAACTAATAAAAGTAATACTTTCAAATCAACTGGCTATAGTTTCTAGAGCTGTAGGCTAGTGATTTGGATGAAATCTAAGGGTACAGTAAGTCCATACACTATGTAACATGATTAGATAGACGAATATTAAAGGTCAAATCATAAGCAGAGCCACCTGTCCAGGAAACTTAGCGAGGGCAGCATATATCATTTCTTGCCTGTCATCATTGCAGACCCCGTATTAGCCAAGTGACTTATATTTATGAACAGAAGTTAACGACTCAGTTTGATAGATTTTAAAATGGAAGGTTTTTAGTCTACTGGCTCTCTATTTTCCCAGGAGCTACCGCTCCTTCTCTGAGCATGTCCTTCCTGCAAAATGCAGCCTGGACCTGCTTCTTACTCCATACTCCAGAAACATTGCTTGCCTTCCTGTTTAGTTGGCCATTTCCAGCTTTGTCTACATTCGGGACTTCTGCTCAAGCACCAACTTGCTTCTCATTAAGCTCTGGCTGCAGTACTAAATGGAACTACTCTGTTTACCAGCTGTTCTTCACCTGGCTTCCCTAACATCAGCCCAGTGGCCACACCTGCCTTGAGCCTCTCTACTCCCCTGGCTTCTGTGCATCTCAGTTGCCATGGTTTCCCCCAGCCACCCACCCTTAGGCTCCTCTTCCACTCATGTCTGTCTCTTCCAGGCTGGACGTTCACCTCTGCTCAGTTTTTCTTGCATTGAGCTTACCAACTTGTGGAAGAGATTAGCGATCACCTATATGAGCTCCTCCCATCCAGCAGCCTCTGCTGCTTCCTTTTGGTTTTATCATCAGTCTTCCATGTCCTCCAGGCTTCACACTCCACCATGACAGAAGAACACCGCCCTTCTCACCCATGTGCTCAGCCCTGACTCCCTACCACCTAGTCTAGAACTCTTTCTGTCCCCTCTGGCCTACCCCGGCTCTCATCTGCCTTTCCATGCCAATTAGACACCATCCCTGCCTCTTGGCACACCAGGTTCGCTTCAGCACTGTCCCACCAGACCTCACCATCACGAGATTACCTTCCACAGGGGAGAGGAGGTCTCCCCGCTCCCTGGCATTCTCCAAGCTAACCCCTCTCAAGGCTTGAGGTTGCAATAGTCATCTTTCATTCAAACCTGGTATCATCTCCTGAAAACCTTCCCCGATGCTTTGTTGCCTCCTGAATTAACTATTGATCATAAGTGTGGCCTCCAGAGACATGTGTCACAGTGCCCAAACAGCCTACCATCCTTTGACTCATTCTGGACATAGACTCCGTTCAGTGGTCAACCTGCTTAGCTGTGTGACCAAACTCTCCTGTCTAATCCTATTTCCTTAGCTTTTGTTAGATCAATCAAATGAAATTGTTAATGTATTACAATGTTTTATCTATTAAAACTGGCAGTACTAAGTGATCCAACCTAAAGTTTTCCTCATTAGAAACATCCCTGTTCAAAGAGTTACTGGGTCTGTAGTTCATCTCTATAATCCCTGCTGAGTATAGCTCCTCTAATGCCTGGCACAGAGCAGGTGTTTCCTAAGTGTTTGTTCAAAAGGAAGTCAGTGACTTTGCTTCTATTGCTATTGCTCTTTGAGTTTCAAGCCTTGGAAACATGTTTTTGAAGCTCAGGAATCAGTGAAGACTGTGTTTTGCAGAATAGCTGTATTTCAGAAGAAGAAAGAGACGCATATGAAGAACTGCTGACACAAGCAGAAATCCAAGGCAACATCAATACAGTCAACAGTAAGTAGTGGCTATTTCTATAAGGCCCAAACTTTCTCTGCCAGAACTTCAGCAAAACTTTCAATTTGTGTGCTTGCCAAACTGCCTTATGCAATGAAAAAATGTAAGTGTCAATGTTGCTTTTAATTATAGTACAGTATTAGACAGTTTCCCAGTTAGTCTTCTTTGGCAAAGTCTCTGCCTTGTCTCTGTTTTGACTCTGCCTTCATGTTCCAGCCTTGGGCACATTGCACTTTATCTTGAATCTGCCCTTATTGGATTGAGACTGAATGATCCCAAGTAAAAGACTATGACTTAGCAATTACAGTTCACTGCTGTAAGTTGTGTGATGTGATTCTATTGGTATTATAAGAGATATTATGGATGTTTCTGCTATTATTTCTTCCCTCTAATTAGTCTGTATTTCACAGGACTTCTCTCACAGCTTAGCGAGGTTTAGTGCTAATGAAGCCAGTTTGAGTTCTATGACCTTGAGTATCTGAGTAGTCACAAAAGTTTGTTTTTAAAAAATATATTTGTATATATTTTTTGTTGGTATTCTTAAGGTATTTTACAGAGGAATTACAATCCCATAAGTCAAATAATGAGTACAGATCTTCTTGGACAGTGTCACCCCTTCCTTCACTTTCCTTAGTTCCCGCTCTTGTCTCTGCCTACAAGTTTCTAGTTTGTTTTTTACATAGTGTATATTGAATACAATGGCACTTGTTTACCTCTCCTTCCTCCATTTCTGTGCTCCCTATCTGCCCCCCCCAAAGAAAACGAAAAACCAACAACAATAAAAAAAACTGCATTTCCATTTCTTGGAATTTGTTTTGATAATTAGTATGTTAGATGTTCAGAGGAGTTATGCCTTATTTCCTCCCCTAATTCTTCCTATCATCTTGTGTAGTTGTGTGACCAGAAGGAAAAGAAAGTTCAGGTTTATGAAAATGAGCCTATGCAAGTTTGGATGGATCCATATATTTTTGGTAGACTTTTACATCCTCTGGAAAATTTTACTTTTGCTTGAGGATCAGAAGAGACAGTAAGGAATTCTCCTTGACATTTATTTTCCCTAGATCAATCTAAGTCACCCCAGGGGAAAAAATGAAGACATAGAAAACCACCAGACCCATTAAATAAAGACTTTTCTTGTTGGATTGACACTTAGACTATCTAATTACAACTGTCTTAAGATTTTCACTCTTTCTGGATGAGTTTGGAATATATTTTATTTCTTTGAACACTTTCAAAGAAATTCATAACTGTAGGTGTTGCTCAGTAGCCTGACCTAAGTTATTGGAGAGATTCTTCCCAATGATGCAAGCAGTCATCAAGGAAGCCCGGGAAGATAGATGTCGATGTCTGGCAGCTGACAACAGAATGAGTTTGAAAGTTTACCACACTTATGTACATGCGTGCGCGTGCGCGCACACGCATGCACACACACATATACATATACACATACATATCACACAAGAGCTGAGAGCCCAGTGTTAAAATCTTACAATTTGGGGGTACATGTTTGTGTTTTAATTCCTGTGAAATCATAAATGCATTAGTGATAATATATGAAATCCATTGTCAGGTTCTTCTTTCTGCTCTATTTGAAAGCTGACTAATTATTCTTAACCGAAATGCATTGCAGAGAGGAATTAATATTGCCAGCAAGACAACATCAGATTTCCATAACTTAGGCAGAAAACAATTTCATTACCTTTTACCATCCTCTATAGTTCTGAAGTGTTTATAACCACCTCAAAACCTTCCCTTCCATGTTACATGAAATGCCTTTATAAACAAATGTTTGAATACTCAATGACATAATTTCCTGACTACAAATTGAATGCCAAATTGGCTATACTTTATTTTCCATTTTTAAGTTAAAGGCACCAAATGATTTACACTAATGGCCTATGTGAAATTTATGAAGGGCACTGAACTCTGGGGTGGCTGTAATGGTGAAGAACATGATTGTTCTGAAATCTTTATTTCTGGAAGTTTCTAGAACTAAAAGTAGTCTTGGGGAAAAAAGAAAATAAACACCCTCACTGAAGCTGATGGCTCACAATTGTAGTCCTAGCTACTCGGGGCTGAGATCATAGTTTTAAGCCGAATTGGGCAGAAAATTTTGTAAGATTCTTATCTGCAGTGAACCAACAAAATCAGAAGTGGATCTGTGGCTCAAATAATAGAGCTTCAGCCTTGAGTGAGTCTTCAAGAGTGCAAGCTCTATGTTCATGAGTTCAATCCCCAGTACCAGAACACACATAAAAAACCCACAAATATATATATGCATATATATAAAACCCTTTATTATATAGGTCAATTACATGAAGTGAGCTGATTGTGCACTCTTAAATCAGTAAGTATAGATGCTTTAACAAGCTCTTCCCCAACCTGGCAGATTATGATTTTAAGATGCTGAGGCGTTAGCATTCATTGCTGTTTTATTGGTAATGTCAGTAGATCTGCCCTCAGAGATTTCAGCCTTGTTTGAACTGCAGTGATTTATTTCTGGCCTTGTCACATGCATTCCATTCATTGTTGGATATTTTCCATTCACATCAAGGCTGGGAATTTTATTAATGTAGAGCATAAAAGAATAGTTAAGAAAAATGGGCTTGGGATTTGTTTGATTGTTTTTTAGAAGAAAGTTTGTTAGAGATATGATTTCCTGGTAATATTTACTATCCAGTGGTACAAACTTACATCAGCAAGTTCTCAGAGGTGATACGTGAGTCTGCCCAGCATCATCCCAGATACAGCTGAAAGGCTTTTGGCCCTTTACCACATCAGCAGTCACCACAAACAGCTACTGACCTTTCTTTCTGGAATTCTTTCATTTGTCAAGGGAAGGGGAAAAGAAGTATTTGGGCCCTAAGGTTTGTACTGAATGCAAGTTTTCTTGGGGGCTGACTCCAGGAGTTCCATCAGTCATGTCTCCTGCTATAGATTGGTGTCTCTTAGTAGAAAGTTTGAAGAAGGCTCCTCGTAAAAGTATTTTGAGAAGATAAATTATCATCTTCTTGAAAAGGATTAGAATCATCTTCACTGCAGTCTAGTTGTATACTGGGCAGACAGGTTGACTTTGAAAAGCCCTAGAAATCTTCTCTGACTATGTGTTATTCCTACTACTCAGATCCCTTTTTAGTGGGCAAATCCTGTAGACTCTATCTGGTTTGTTCTTGCCTGGTGACAGAGCTCATCACTCATTCTGAAAATTATGCAGAATCTTCTGTTCTGAGCACCCATGCTGAAGTCCCTAAAGTTCTTTGCATATCCTGAAAGTTGTGGTAGTATTCGGATGCACACGGCAATGGGCTCACCCATGTTGATTCACCACTGGGTGGACACTGCTTGCCTTCTGACCCTCGCCAGAAAGCCTGCTTTGAAGAGATGGTACCAGCCAACAGGGGGCAGCAGAAACAAGCTACTGGGATAACATGGCCTGGCATGACCTGGCCTTAAAAAGCACTGTGTTGAAAGTGAACTACACGACTTGTGAGTGGAAATGGGAGGGAACAACTGGGAGAAAGTGAGGGAAAGGACGACACTGTCCAAAAAGGAAATTTACTCTTTATCTGATTTATGTAATTGTAGCAACACCCCCATATCACCTTTATAATAACATTTTTTTAAATGCTTGGGGAAAAAAAAAAATCTCTGGGGATTCGCTGATGGGAATCCTCAGAGCCCAAAGCCTCGTTCGTGAAGGCTCTGTAGGAGAGGCAGGCCCAGGGCTTTCCTTAGGGAGTCATGCTAGGCAGGAATGATCCACAACTCAAGCACCATCAGTGCTGAGGCTCCTGGAAGGGACTTCCTTTAAGTTTGGACCTAACTTGAATTACTGAGCTGATCCAGAGCTCTGCCCGCCTCTCCCTCTGTTAGGTTGGAAATCTTGGGGGAAAGGACCAGTGGGGTAGGGCAGCGGGGGAGGGGGGACTGCAGACACTCTGACTGATGGATTGTAAACCTGCACCCCCAGGGCAGGCTGCTGTGGATCACATCAATGCTGTCATTCCGGAAGGCGACCCTGCAAATACACTGCTTGCACTGAAGAAACCAGAGGCCCAGCTGCCTGCCGTGTATCCCTTTGCTGCTACCATGTATCAGAATGAACTCTTCAGCCTCCAGAAACAGAATGCCATGGTGAGACCCTCATGTCCCAGCAGGAAGGGAAGGCTGTTGAGGAAAATAGAAGGCTGGATAGGGCTACAGGCTCTAAGAATCAGGGGAGGAGAAGACCCTGAGCTGTGAAGATCAAAGGATGTGACATACATGTGTGTGTATGTATGTGTATATAAATGGATGTAGATAAGAATATAGTATATGAAACCCACCAAACATGTTTGAAAAAGGAGGGGAGGGGGGAGGAAATGAGACTATGGTGGAGGGGGAAATTTACACTATGTGTTTGTATAGAAATATCACAAGGAAACCCCTTGTGTTACAAATGTATGTTAACCAGAAACTTTTTAAAGTCAGTTAAGAACAATGAAACCTCTAAAATTTTATTAAAATGAATTAAAAATAAAAGCCTGTTGGACTCTAGGATTTATTTTCTTATCTCTCCTTATCAATACTCCCCAACAGAGCCCAACATAATATGTATTGTGTGTATATATATGTATATACACAATTGCACAATATATATATTATAGTATACAATATTATATGTAACATATATATTGCAAATATATTACTATGTATAATATTACTATATATACAATATACAAATATTTATACATATGTGTGTATATACATATGAAATGTCACAATAAAACTCATGATTGTACAGTTTGAACATTTTTACAAATGATACATGCTATTTACATATAATACACAGAGGGGAAAAAAAGACTACCATCATTTTCTAAAATAGATCACTTTCTTAAATTATATTCTGACATTAGTGTCTCTTCTCGCTTGTCATAGATTTAAAACCCAGGGCTCCTTCCACACAGCAAGTATTTTATCCCCAATGGATCACACTGTCTAGGATAGCTCAGGCCTACTTCCTCATTTTCCTCTGTCCTTCTTTGTTTTGGGGTTTGGGGCTAGGTTTGGCTTGGTTTTGAAGGTCTGACTATGTAATAGTTTCAGATGGACTAGAACTCACAATCTTCCTACCTCTACCTCCAAGGTCTGGGATGGCAAACATATATCACTGTACCTTGCTTCCTTGTCCTTTGTTTTTGCTGTAGAGGTTGTGATACAGCAGTGGTTTCATTGTGCTCTTTACGTACAGTTGTTTGACCTCCCTAGGGTGGTAAATTTGTAGTTAATATAAATATTTGGATGTAATTTGTTTACTAACTGGTTGCTGATGGCTCACTCTTGTAATCCTAGCTATTGAGGAGGCTGAAATCTGAGGATCACGGTTTGAAGCCAGCCTAGGCAGAAAAGGCTGTGAGACTCCTATGTCCAACTAAGCACCAAAAAAATCCCTGAAAGTGGCACTGTGGCTCAAGCGATAAGAGTGCTAAACTTGATCCAAAAAGCTCAGAAACAGTGCCCGGGCCCTGAGTTCAAGTCCCAGGAGTGGCTCCAAAGTGTTATTTGTTTGATGTTGATATTTTTTGCTTACTTCTTTACTTTAGAAAGTAAAATTGTGTTCAGTTTCCCTAAAATCAATTTGCAAAAAGATCTCTATGGAGAGCCAGAAAGTTACATGTTTTTTTCCTTCCTGTACCTTTTTTCCGGTGCCGAGACTTGAAGTCAATGCCTCTTACTTGCCTGGTTTGCTTGCTTAGTTGGTGCTGTACGACGTGAACAATGCCTACAGCCCAGCGTTGGCTAGTTATTTTGAAGATGGATTCTCACAGGTTTTTCTGCCTATACTGTTTTCAAACATCAATCCTGTTGATCTCAGACTCCTAACTAATTAGAGTTACAAGCGTGAGCCAACAGTCCCTACCTCTATAGTGTACTTTAATGCAAATATGACTGTATATAGAATATATAAATGTAAAGATGTGTATCATCTTTTTTAAGTAATTCGTTTTCAAACTTCTTAATTTCCTTCAATATAATGAAAGAAATATCCTTTTTGAAGTGGGTACAAGATAGTATAGAATATTTAAATGAAAGAAAATATCAGTAGAGAACTCTGTTCTGAAATCCAATATGTATTTCTTTAAAAATCTAGATTAGTAAGCTATATAAACCCAGAGATTATTAATTGATTAACAAAGATTTGCTTTAGGTTTAAAGTCACTACCCAACTTATAAGAATATAAGTTGGATTTTTTAAAAATTAGAATCATTTTTGGCTAAAAAATATATCTATAAAAATAGGTCTTAAAAATAGGTCTTTCATCTGCGTATAGAAAAAATAGATCAAACTCTTTTTCTCCAATCCTGGAGCTTGAATTTAGTGCCTGGGCACTGTCCCTGAGCTTCTTTTGCTCAAGGCTAACTCTCTACCACTTTAGCCACAGTGCCACTTCCAGCTTTTTCTGAGTAGTTTAAGGGAGGTAAAAGTCTCATGGACTTTTCTGCATAGGCTGGCATTGAACCATGATCCTCAGATCTCAGCCTCATGAGTAGTAAGGATTATAGACATGAGCCACCAGCATCTAGCTTTTCTGGAATTGTTTAAGATAGAATTCCCCCTGCTTTCAGTGTTCTTTTGTTTTGAGCAGTCCTGGAGTTTGAATTCATAGTTCCGTGCTTGTTAGGCAGACACTGTACCACTAATCTGCACCTCCAGCCCCTCCTATCCATTTATTTTTGCCCTACTTTAAACTGACAGTTGTTAACTGCGAAAATGTTACCTAAAACTCTCACCTCCTATTCTCTAATCCTTGGTGAATTATAAGGTTACAGGAACCTGTAAAGTAGCCAACACAGTCAGGAATAGGGCTCACAATAGGGAATACAGATAATTTGTGAAATTGCATATGTTAGATGTAACAAATGATATTCCATTTACTGAGGTAAAGCCAAAGAAAAGTACATGGCCTCTTTCTTCTGGGTTCTGAAAATCTTTGTCTTTGTATTGTCCTATGTCATGTGGGTTCTCCACTGCATTGTGTATGTGCACTTACATGGCTGCGTATTTGCCAACAGAACTACTTGGCCCACGAAGAGTTGTTGATCGCGGTGGAAATGCTGTCTGCAGTTGCCCTGCTAAACCAGGCCTTGGAGAGCAATGATCTTGTGTCTGTGCAGAATCAACTCAGAAGCTCCGCAATAGGTGTCAACAACGTGGACGAGGCACATGTGGAACGGTAAGGCGTGTTCTCTAAATCCTCTTCCCAAGCAGAGATCGAATGTATGCTCGGCAGAGCTCACAAACTAGCAATGTGTTCCTTAATGGAAAAATCCATATGCCAGGCTCATGCCTGTTGAGAGCTGGTCTGTTCTAAGTCCTTCTCACTCGAGGTTTCTTTACAGTATTCCTTTGTAGTGGACAAAAAGAATAGGAAAAGACTTTGTGGCGAATAATAACTGATTCTGTCTATAGCGAAGATCAGTAGGCCAGAAAATAGAGGAACTATGCAAAATGTACCTACCCATTTCTTTCAGAAATGATACACTGTAGAAAGCTACTCTAATAATCAGTCCAATTGTTTTATTTCAGAGATGTAGAAAATGAATCAGAGTTGTGGATCCCAAGCTGAGTCTCTTTGGCTCCAAACTTCACTCTTTTGATGGTTGAGCCAAAAGAATCCTGAGCCCATAGTGGGCCAAGGCAGAATGTAACAGTCTCTGTTGACTGACTTTCAGTTCAGATTCTGAAATGTGCTACTGTGTTGATAGTAATATATACCTTTTATAGAGGAGATAGAGAGAAAAATAAGGAGCAAGAATTATAATGCAAATTGTTGATTCTTTTTATTTTCTTTTTTATAATTAGCAGGGTCTCATACCTGCTAATCTTGTGATATACCACTAAACTAGACCTGCAACCTCCAAATTAGAGACTTAATATGACAAAATCTTGAGCTAAAAAAGTGAGTGAACCATGGCTTCTTGTGACCACCCTGGCTTCTTGTGACCATCCAAGCTCTCAGCTTGGATTCTTAGGATGGCTATAATGGGAAGATTTGTAGTTTATTTGGGAGTCATGCGTAGTTTTACAAGAAAAAGAAGAGACTTTAGGTTTTCACCAAATGACATTTGACCACTTGTTTATGGTGGAAGAACAGTGAGTTTTTCTTGTTTTCAATCTTCCTGCTTATGTGTGTGATACCTTTAGAGTGTTTGTATGAATGGTACCTCTAGAGTGCTTGTGTGCATAGTACCTCTGCAGTTTTATGTGCATGGTACCTCTAGAGTGCTTGTGTGCGTGGTATCTCAAGTGCTTGTGTACGTAGTACTGATAGAGTGCTTGTGTGCATGGTACCTCTACAGAATGTGGCCACTCTGGCAACCATCCTCATGTATCCTTGGCATCTTTCACCTTGTTTCTGTAATAAACCCCACAGTGGATTTATGACCTCTTTTCTGTTCTCTAACACCTTTTTTTTTTTTTTTT